GTGTGTGTGTGTGTGTGTGTGTGTGTGTGTGTGTGTGTGTGTGTGTGCAGTCTGCATGTGAGGGGAGAGAGGCAAAAAGAGAGGTGCAACAGGTGAAGATGGTAATCCTGTCGCCACCCTGGAGAGGAGACCTTAGACCTCATAAAAGCTGCTCATCTTTCTTTCCAGTTAAAATGGGTATTTGGGGAGCAGTTTCCTCTTCTGCCCGCTCTTTTCATTCCTCTCTGTCTGCATCCTCTGATATGTCACAAATATTCTATCACCCTTTGTATCTCTCTTGGTCACTTTCCTCATGCCTCGGCTGCCTTCACTCCCACCCTCACTGTAATTGACATCCTTGTTTTTTTTCATTACCTCCTGTCCTTCTCTTCTCCCTTCGTCTCTTGAGTTTTCCTTATTGCCCAAGCAGAAATCAAACAAAAGGAAAGTAATGTACAGGAAGATGGAAAACTCCCAAGAAAGGCTTATTCAGTACCTTAGGATGCAATTTAAAAAAAACTTACAGAGCTCTATATTTTATAACCTGTGTATCTTATAAAGACTGACTGGAGAATGGCTCTCTTGCTTTAATCGTAACTTGTATATAAAAGTACAAAAATGGAAACTTCAGGTTTCTGGTGGAGGACATTATATATTCAAGATTGTAGAAAAATATTCCTGCTGATACCATGTAGTGGTATGGAAACTAAGTATACATTAAAGTGTAATGAAAGCTGTCTTTGTCAGGAAGATAACTTACTTCTCCCGTAACCTGTCTTTTCTCTTCTCTTCCTCCAGACCTCACCCCAGAGGAGAAGGCCCGAGGGTTGGCCCGGGCCATCCGCAAGCAGACAGGTGAGGTGATGGAGCGATGGGAGCGACTGAAAGGACACATGGGTGGCTGGCAGAGTCAGGTGGAGCGAGCCTTGGAGCGACTCCAGGAGCTGCAGAGCTCCATGGACCAGCTCGACCTGCGGCTGACTCAGGCAGAGGAGGCCAAAGCTACCTGGCAGCCTGTGGGGGATCTGCTGATCGACTCTCTGCAGGACCACATCGACAAGACCATGGTGAGTCAGACCGACGGCACTGCTGTTGTATACTACTGCCAAAGCACCATAATCGTCAATGCGTCATGTCATGATTTAGATGAGTCGGTCTTGTTTTTTTGCAAATGCCACTCATGTGTGGGGGTGTGTTTTCCCAAGGACACCTGGCCAAAAAAACAAGTAGCACATTTAGTTTACAGGCAGAAAAATTGCTTCCTAAGAAACAGTGGCAGTAAAATAGTCAAAAATAACATTATAATCTGTTACACCACTTCACGTCTTAATGATTGCCTCCCAGTGGTTTGGACAGTCTTGGCCATTTATATCTCCCAATATCCACGCCATGTAAGCATCCACTGTGAATAAATCTATTTATCTATTAACAGTGGAAACACTTGTCCACGGTATCTGACACACACAAAGTACCTATAGGCATTAAGTGTATATTGACAGCCACAACAACAAAACACAATTTAAAACTTGATTCATCTCCAATTAGACGTCATGAGTTCAACACTGTAAGCAAGGAAAAGTCAAACAGCAATTAAGGTGAAACAGAAGATAACCGATGTTCTGTGCATCAAGAACACAAACATCACGATTAAAGTAATTAGACAGCCTAAGTTTATAATAGTGATACAGTTACAACAACATTTTTTTTCACCCTGTCACAACATAAAACTTTCTTTTCAGACCTTCAGAGAGGAGATCGCCCCGTTACGTCAGGATGTGAGAATCGTCAACGAGCTTTCCGCAGAGCTGACACCGTTGGACATCCAGCTCTCCTCCACTGCTGCCAGACAACTGGACCAGCTCGACATGAGATGGAAACTACTGCAGGTAGTTGAAATCCTCCCGAATCACATGCAGATATTGGAGCAGACACGGTTTTCCACACACATCTCGTTCTTGCCTTCTCTTGGGTTATCCACCACCTTTTCATCCTACAGTATTTTGTCCACGCTTGCCCAAATGAATGCTGCTTTCAATATATCTTGATCCTCTTTCTTCCTGTTCTTTCTCCTACTGCCTGTGAGTTTTTATCTTCTCTGTCTTTGACTCTCTCTCTCTCTCTGTTTCTCTCGCTGTGTTCGTGCTGATTTCACTCTTTGTCATCCAGACACACAGGAGACTGAGAGTTGTCCCTCTACCTGTGTACCTGTTTTATTTATACGCAGCCTAGTGCTCACTGCACCACTTTGTCTCTGCACATCAATGGACACTATTCTCACAGAACACCAGTCACATTCTTGGCTCCCTACGCACCTGATTGTCTTTGTCTGATCCGCTGGGGGACTCTCTGAGTTTTTTTTCTCAGAGTGGAGCACGTCTCAGCCCCAGAGGGAAATCCTGGAGTCTGTTTACAAGTCGTCACAAGGAAAGAGAAGAGAAGAGACGTTGGTTTTGAGTTGGGGAGTGAAATCCTCTACGTGAAGTCTACAATTCAAATCTCAGTTCTTTCAGACACGTTCTCCTTATCAAGCAAGGACCATTGTCCCTCTTCTTCATTTGTTTACGCTGTGTCCTCATCAGGCCTAGTTTAAACATCGGCTCTGTTTTTCTTTCAGTGACAAGTTATCTCATCGTTCCTATATCTACCGTACAGGAGCAGAGAAAGGTTGATGTCCGTGGTGCTTACTGCCCAGGACACCAGGCAGCCACAGATAGACCGTGATTTCAAAGACACTGTGATGGAAACTTTTACAGACTTCTTTTGAAGTTTTTCTCGTATGCAGTCATGCAGCATTGTTGCCGAAGATAAATGAGTTGGGACGGAAAAAAACAGAAAAGGGGAGTTACAGTGGGTACGGAAAGTATTCAGACCCCTTTAAATTTTTAACTCTTTGCTTCATTGCAGCCATTTGCTAAAATCAAAAAAGTTCATTTTATTTCTC